AAATAAATGGGGCATTCTATTTGAGATAACAAAAAGACTACGTGTAGCGCAAAACTGGGAAATCTAGCAACATTGCCAATAGCACTGTTGAATTCCGCATGCCTGAAAACTGTCAGATTCCAAATTGTGTGAACACGGCTTAAGCAGTTTTGAAGATATTTAAGTGTTGCAGTACTTTTTACTAACCCTGTATATTGCAATCAGAATGGAACATATTATCAAACAATTTGAAAATTTACTGGGGGTGTTCCATTCAGTAAAATACTATTTATGTGCATAACTATCAAAATATATAAGTCTTTTGTTTTTTGTTCAATCTATCTAAAATTCAAAACCAACCCTACAGTATATGTTTTTTTATTTATTTAAATAACTTCAAAAATAAAAAAATTATGACAGTTTGAAATGTTATCAAGATAAAATGACCACCCTGTATATTATAGGAAATGATCGTAAGTTGTTAATAGAGGGCAGCACACCGACAAGAGAAAATAGGTCTGTTTCTGCAGAAATCACAAACCAGGCAGGGCAAATTTCATTGGTTGAAAACAGCCAGAAACAGTCAGCAAACTAGTTTCAACCAATGAAATTCACTCTGACTGGTTTGTAATTTCTGCAGAAACAGACCTTATAATTTGAGTACAGGTTTCAAACCTATTTTTTATTTCCTACTAGCAGTGTAGCAATCTATATATCCCTCGGTAGAGAAAGTCATTATATACCTTACTCATTATAAACCTCGGTATCGCGCCTCGGTTTATAAAAGCGCTCGGTATAATGACCAACTTCTCTACCTAAGTATATAATGTACTATTAAATAGGATTGTCAATATTATGACAAGATAATAGTACATTATATACCTAGGTAGAGAAGTTGGTTATTATACAGGCTGTCTCAGAATATGTGGGCAACCTCTCGGATTAGTCGGATTAAGATAAAATACAAAAAAATAACATGATAAGGGCGAAATCTCATAAGCGTAAGTTGACATTTCTGGCGTAATCACGTGATAAAATGGTTGGGTTTTAGTCGTAAAATATTTGCCATTTTGGATATTTTACCAATCAAATAACAACATATATTATTACGTGATTACGCGAGAAATGTCAACTTACGCTCATAAGAATTCGCCCTAAAAATATTATTGCTATTCCTATATCATACAGGGTGTAGAAAAAATTAGCATTATTGTGTTAAAGCTAGTCCGTCCCTGGCAAACTAGATTGGCCAAGTGTGTTTGGAAGGGTCTATTTTAAGGGGTATTATTTTATTTAGTATCCATCATATTAAAAGAAAAAAAAATTACACGAAGTATTTTGAAAGTTATCAACTAAAAAACAGATTTTCAGAGGCGTCCTTTAGGGGCACGTAACTTCGTAGGGGGGGCCGTAGGATTTTTTTTTTTTAAAGGAAGTTGTCATGTTATTTTTTTGTGTTCTATCTGAATCCGAGAGAGGCCCACATAAAATATTCTGGGATACCCTGTATACTGAGCTTTCTTATATAATGCGGAAGGTATATAATGACTTTCTCTACCGAGGAATTATATAGAATTTTTTTTACTACTGCTAGTAGAAAATAAAAAATAGTTCTGAAATCTGTGCTCAAATTATTTTTTCTTGTCGGAAGTGCTGCTCTCTATCAACAGTCTATGGTAATTTCCTTTGTTAACCAGATTTCAGGAAACCTAGGTCCAAAAGTAACCACGTTTCCAGGAACCAGAAGAATTTGATTACTTTCGAGATTCGGACTGCGAAACCATAACCCTGTTTATATTCGAACCACAGTCTTAAACTTGGTACCATCCTCATCAAAAGTATCTGGGACAAAAATAATGCATGACGATGGTACGTCATGTCGTCAATATCCTTGCGACATGACGTCATGTTCATTATTGACCTAGGTTTTTTTTCATTATTTTCATTATTAACCTAAGCTAGGGAGAGAAATGCAATTTTTTTCCTAGAAAAATAGATTGAATAATGTCTACTTCTCAGGTTAGTAGTAAAAAATCATTCATATTTTCATTTTTAACAACTATGATCATATTTAATTTTAATTATTTTGAAAAATCTTTATCGATATATGATGAATTCCAAGCGAGGACGTATCGACATATCGTATCGATACTGTACGATAGACGATATAAGCCCTCTCCTCAGCGTTGCCAGACGTACGACAGGTGTGGTATTTGTACGACAGTTTAGGGCATCTTCGCTACAAGAAACTCAATCCGTACGGTAGTACGGTAATGTACCACAATTTTGAAATATTAAGTTGTTTGGGTAATATTTTATGGTAATATGTACCACATTTCTAAATTCTCCTTTTTTTTATGTGTATTGGCCAAATTGAGTTTGGGTGGGGTGGGGTTTGGGTACCTACCTTGCTTGACAACCTTGCATGTGATCATGCTGGGTTATGTGATGTGTCAATTATGTCATACTCCCCTAACTCTCTCCCCATCAAATTCTGGGCCTGCGACGTCACTATCAGCAGCTTATAGTGATGACGTCACCCGCAGACCTCGATGGAATGCTTGCGATTCAGGCTGTACTTGTGAGTTAATTTTTTGTCGATTTTAAATGTAGAAAAGGTGATTTTCGGTCTGTTCTCACAGAAGAAATTAAAGGCGTTTTCTCGCGAGGCGAATGGTGTGAATTACAGTTTAAACCAGTTTGTAGATGACGTCATTACTTGATGTGAAGGTGAGAAAATGGAAGGTTTGAACCACAGTCTTATGTTAACGAAGAACAAGCCATGAGTCCGGTTCGAATATTTCTGAACCAGGTTCAATGTGACGTCACTGGTTCAACGCAAGAATGTACAGGTTCGAACCTAATTGAACCGGATCGAACAAGTTCCACCGCGAGAAAACAGCTTAAAGGCGTTTTCTCGCGGTTCGAATGGTTCGAACCACGGTTAATAGAGAACAAGCCATGAGTCCGATTCGAACTTTTTTGAACTAGGTGCAATGTGACGTCACAGGTTCAACGCAAGAATGTACAAAATCGAACCTAATTGGACCGGATCAAACCAGTTCCACCGCGAGAAAACAGCTTAAGTGTTCTTGATCCTCGAGTCGAGTTTCCCAGAATTTGATGGTGGGAGAGTTATGGGAGTATGACACAATAGGGTACTTGCATGGAAAATTAAATTGATTATTGTTTATTGCAATCTGTAGGAAATCGAGAAAAAATCGTTACTTTTTTTTTATTCCTCCCAAATATGATTATTCCGGAAGTTATACAAATATTAAGTTTTTTATATATAGATATACTGAGCATGTGCGACGTCACAACTCACAACGTATTATACCTAAGTTATGACGTCGGAAGGACATTTCAAAGCCTTATATCTCCGTCAATTTTTGACTAACAAGAAAAAGAAAAAACACGTGTTGACTTATTTTTCATGGACTATCGAAATCAGCAATAAAAAAATTTGATGCAAGGGGCCTATTCCAATTTGAAGACGTCTTTTTCTGACGGAATGTTTTGAAACGTAAAAACGCTACATTTTTGTGTTGCAACGGTGACGTCATATACGGAGGCGGTTCAACCAGTTTCCAACCGCTCTTTCAGCCTGTTTCAAAATAGACATTGAACATCTGACCTCAAAATACCACAGAACAATAATTTTAGGGATGTCGCAGGCTCCGTTTCAAAACAGGGCATTTTTGATCACCACCGATCCGATATGATGACGTAACAATCGAACCAGTTTTGAAACGTTTTAAAACACGGTTCAACAGAAAAAGACGTCTTAAGTACCCACCAAAGTAGGTACCCACAAAGTACCTTAATAAATTTAAATAGTTTCATTTGATTTTCCGTTACTCCTGTTGCTGTAATTTTTAATGCAAGGTCTATTTTCAAGTTTTCAACCTTTTGCTTTTTCAAAAAAAGTCATATTTTTTTTAGTGAATAGGTATGTACTAAAAACACAGCATATACAAAAACAATCAGCAGGCTAACTTGAGTGACATCCCATGTAATTAAGGAGTTCATGGTTGGGATGTCACTAGCGACCATTTTGGGATACGAGACAGGACCTGATTAACAATAATTTAGATTTCCTTTCGGGTCACAGAGTCGTATTGGCTTTAAATAAACTAATTTAATATTACTTACATATAATAATATTTATCCTTACTAATTTATTAATATTTTCAAATATACAAGAATGATAAGTGATAACACCATAAATGACAACACGAATATACTAAAATGACTTTGAAATTCATAACTAAAATTCCGCTCTACAGCGCACGCCTATGACCTCCGTCAGAAATAAACAAATAAATTAAAATGTCGGCGTCCCTGCCATTTAATAACAAGATGGTATCCCCGAATGGCGGCGTGCGCAGAAAAGATGCGCGTGAGAGTTAGCCTGCTGATTGTTTTTGTATATGCTGTGCTAAAAATATATTATGTAGTAAGGTAATGTGTACCCAATAGTTCTTTTCACGTTGCTCCGGTTTAACTAACCGGGTTACAAAACGGTTAGAGAAATGACATACCGTTTTCTAACCCGGTTACAAAAGTGACGTGATGGATACTTACCACTCGAATTTGAGCGGTATGTTGCGGTTTGTTAAACCGGAGCCACGTGAAAAGGGTTAATGTGTGTACCACAAGTATTCGTGGCGCGTACGTCCCTGTACGACAGTTTTTGAGCATTGTGTACCACACTTCCATATGTGAGTCTGGCAACGCTGCCTCTCCTCTACAGTCTACTTTTGACACACAGATGATGACGTTTGAGAAATTAATTGAGATTAGAAAAATATAAATAAAAAACTATAAAAACATTAAAATTAAACATGGATAAAATAAGAATTTTTTGTGCTTGTAGTTAGTACAAGCTATAGATTTTTTTTTCGTTGACTATGTTTAACATCCGCCACAAGCAAAATTGAAGCAAATTTGCAGGTAATCAATTATTTGAAGCATCAAATTTTTAAAAATTAATAAAACCCCATTCTAGGACAGCTAAAATGTCGTTAACCATACAACAAATTATCACCGATGCCAAAAGACTTGCAGGAAAGTTGAAGGATCGAGACGACATTGCTGATAATCTGCTCACTGAAACTCAAGCAATTAACAAAAAAATCGACGCTATGAAACAGTTTCAAGAGGAAGTGGAGCAGCTCAACGAAGTGGCCAATCAAAAACCCCATTCCCAGCTGATAGCCAATATTCAAAAAGAAAATAGACACTTGCGAGAGATCCAGCAAGAAAACAGAGAACTAAAATCTGCTTTGGAAGATTACCAGTGCACCTTGGAACACATTATGACCAAGTATAGAGAGCACACAGGAAACCAAATATACAAATCAAGAATCGATTTCAAAACAATTCAAGAAGAAAGATACCAATACATAATAGAGCAGCAATCTGATAAAATAGCTGAAATGGCTGCTGTTATGAGACAAGCAGCTGAGCTCGATGATAATAGAACTTTGAAATTTGAAGAGTCAATGGCGAAATTGAAACTTGAAAACCAGGGCTTAAGGAAGTTATTACAAATATCAAAAGAATTCAATGATTCTGTTATTACTCAAGAAAAAAAAGTCCAAACTGAATAAATATTATTAATAGTCAAAATGTATTTGTAGGCAATTAGTTGTTTTTTATTTTAAATTATTTATATTTAATTTGTATATAATTATTGAGAACAAATCCAATTTATTATTATTTAAGCAACACTTAGAGCACTTGATCAATAAAAGACATAACTTTTTACAAAAAAAAAAAAAAAAAAACATAGTTTTATTACATTAAATTACATTCTTGAAGTTGTATATTCTACAGGAAATTTAAAAGAATGTGAACCAGTAGCAAATACATTTGGTAGTAGACCAGCATTTGGAATAATATTCCAAGACAGTGTCAACGTAATATTCTTGTTTGACTTCAATCCATTTCCATCATCCCAAAAATAGTATTTGGTGTTCATGTTTTTGAAATCCAAAACGGCGTTTTCTCCTCTCAAAATAATTTTGTCCCATAACACCACCTGGTTTAATTCGTTACTGGGTGTCGTATATTCGGCTGTGAGGTACAAAAACAGTTGTTTAACGTTCCAGTTGAATAAATGAGTTAAATCAGTTTTGAGATCAAACGTGAGGAATCCTAAATCGTTTTTTTCTCTAGACGCGCTATAATCAGGCACGTTTTTGCTGAAATTATTAAGTTATGAGTAGTTTTTTTTTTGGACTATATTGTGGGGCTACTTACACTAGAACCTTTACAGTCTTGATGTCAGTGTTTGTGGTGTAATTTAAAAACACTGTGGATATGAAACAGCAAAACGTTAAAAAGGCTAAGACGCTAAGGGCGTAGGCCAATATTGAGTTGCCCCTTTGGAGCACGGAATGCATTTTTTAATTCGAAATATGGAACTTTTGAAAAAGGGACACGTCAAGTCAAGAGAGAAAATCGAAACCGAAAAAAGTTTGGTTATGAGGTTATGTCAAAACATTATTTGCACTGTTGCCAAATGTTGATTTTAACAATGAAAGAAAAAAAAGAAGAGTAAATAAAATACTAATTGAGAAAAAAAGAAGAATTTTTGTGATGTTTGTTGTTGTTGCTTTGGGAAAGATTTGTTTATAAATTCTAAGAAAAGGATATTTTTATTAATTTATTTATTTTATCTTCATTATTTATAGTTAATAATGCAAACAATTAAACGCCTTTACAGTGGATTAGTTTAAGTTTTATATAAGTTTACGTTAAAATGCTTCAAAATTAAAAAATGTGAATAGGATTTTGGTTTGTTAATTATGTGAATTTCAAATGTCGAATTTCAATACTTTTTGGATATTATGGCCCTTTTTACTTCCTATGGTTTATACAGGTAAGTCTTAAAATCTTATAATGCAGAATTTCCTAGCCAACTAGCAAATTGACATTGCTAAGGAACTTATGTGTTTTGTATATTTACTCGCATGCGGAAAGCGACTTTTCCGAGCTTATTTGCAAGTAGAAAGTAGCATTTTACCACACACTATGCGGCAATAGCTATTTATATAACAAGTACATAAAGTAAGGCTTTATTGTACGAATAATTTTTAGGCCAAGCGAGCTTGCGAGGAGGATTTTTTCTACAAACGTGTTAAAAATGCAATTTTTAACACCCCCCCGTAGCATTAAAAATGTTACTTTATCGCACTTGTGCCATAAAGTCTTTAAAGCACTAGTGTTAAAAATGAAACATCAAATTTTGAGAGTGAACGTCAAAAAAAGTTTGTATTTTTAGTTATTTATATTGATATTAATGGTGAAATTTGAACAACTGAGGTAGCCCGATTAGCCGCCTCATCTATATTTTCCAAGGGATCGATGCAACCCTCTTTTTCTTCTGTATTTTGTTGCCTTTTTAGCAAAAAGCATTACTGACCACGACAGACTTTCAAGAAACTGACAAGACATTTCATTACCTGTAAAACAAGGTGCTGGTTGTTTGGATTTTTTGACAAATGTCAAATTCAATAATTTTATGTAGGAAAGATGCGTTCAATTTATTATTCATCTGGAAATCCGATTTGTTACTGGTTATTGCTTTTTATTGCCGTTTGTAGAAAAAATATTGTATGATATTTGTATTAAAAGTATTTTCAAGGCACTTATGTGAATTGCAGAATTCGCTTCGCTCATTCTGCAAACTTTCACATGCGTGCCTTAAAAATGTACTTTTAACACTTATATCATAAATAACTATTATGTACGATTGCGACTGGTTTTTGTTAAAAATTAAAAAAATCTAATGAAAAAAGTAAAATTCGCGTAGGTATACCTGTTTCACCTTGGCAGGTTGTCAGGACCTGTTTTACCTTGTAAGGTAGTCTAGGTAGGCAATAAAGTAGCACTTTATTTAACTAGTACAATAAAGTGCTACTTTATTGACACAAAACTGTTCTATAAATAACACTTTATTGGTCAATCGGACATAAAGTTTTCAAAAAAACCATTTTTGCTGACTGTTCACCCACAAATTTTCAGAAATTAATTACAGTCGGAAAGGTCTTTATAGATTGGGAAAGATACACTCTATATGAAAGTGTGAAACCTCCTCAATGCTACCAATGCTGGGGGTTTTATCATAAAAATACCAGCTGCACCAACAAAGTTGTATGCTCATATTGCGCTAAGGAACACCCGAGACGTGAATGTCCTTATGTAAAAACAGGACAAAATCTAAAGTGTCAAAATTGCAAAGGAGCAAATGATAAATATAAGACAACCTATTCCACAGACCACGAAGCAAGTTCCCTCGATTGCCCAACTTACCAGTATCATACAAAAATGATTAGGAGCAGAATAAATTATGGTCAAGCTTATGGCTATAATGACTAATAACTTGGTAAACCTGATAAATATACTTGAAGATGAAAATTTGGGCGAAACAATTAATCCAGACCAAATTCGGCATAAACATGATCCCAACAACAGTTTAAATATACTCCATCTGAATATTAGTAGTGTTAGAAAAAACTTTGACAGTTTGGTGGCCTTCCTACAAACCTATGATTTAGATTTTTTTGATGTTATAGCATTGACAGAGTGCTTTAAACTGGACTCCTACAACGAATTTTCTTTAAAAGGATATAACAGCTATTATAACCAAGGTAGTATTAATAAAAATGATGGCGTTTTGACTTTTGTAAGGAGCAGTTTAAACCATGAAGTTAAAAGCCACACTCTCCAATCGACAAAAATAATAGTAAGTAGAATAATTTTGGATGTAAGCAGTGTAAAGTATGGTTTAACAATAGTGTACAGGTCACCCTCCACAAACAAAAATAACTTTATAAATGACTTTGAATATTACTTTAAAAATGACATTACGGAGAAAAATATTGAAGTAGTGGTTGGTGATATTAACTTTAATTTATTAGATAACCAAGATCCTCTTACTGTCACCTATTATTCAATGTTGACCTCTAATGGTTTTAAATCATATGTAAATAATATTACTAGAGAAAAAACAAAAAGTTGTTTGGATCACATATTTGTCAAAATGAATCTTAAATTAAATAACATAAAAACACTTTCGTATATCATAAAGACTGACATTACAGATCACTATCCAGTTTCATTAAATATTGCAACCAAAAAAGATAATAATAATAGCGACAGCAATACTGTGATAATCTCAGAAATTAACTGGGGACAGCTGAATGAGTTCTTTAAAGAAGAAAGGTGGGCAGAGGTATTAGATACTAACGAAACAGATCTTAGCTTTATTAAATTTATTACCATTGTTCAAAATTATTTGACGCAAAGCAAAACTGTAAAAACTATTAACACAAAACACAAAAAGTTAAAGCCATGGATTTTACAAGGATTAATTAAAGTTATCAAAACGAGAGACAGGATTAAAAGGCAACTTCAAACACACTTTACAACAGAAAAAGAGATAGAATACAAAAATTATCGAAACCACCTTAAAAAGCTCTTAAATACAGTAAAAAACGAATATTATAAGCAAAAAATAGAAAGTAGCAAACAAGATATTAAAAAAACATATAAAATTATTACAGAAATAACAAACAATAACAAAAAAACAAAAAGTCTCTTAAAAATTACAGATACTAATGACAAAAATTTTGAAACTGATCTTGAAATGGCAAACCACTGTAATGAATATTTTTCAAACATAGGTCTTCAGATGCTTGGTAAAATACCTCAAGTTAAATTAGAAAATAATATTGAATCAGTGAACAAATCAATATTCCTAACTCCAGTAACTGACAAAGAACTTATTCAGCACATCAACAGTTTAAAAATAGACAGTAGTCCAGGTCTCGATATGATTACTGTAGAACTTATCAAAAATATGCATCAGTATCTACTGGCACCCCTTAAGCATATTTATAATCTCATTTTTGAAACAGGGACTGTACCTGGCCATTTTAAGAAATCAATAATTATACCAATCTATAAATCAGGTGCTAAAAATCAAATATCAAACTACAGACCAATAAGCTTAATTGGTAACTTCGCTAAACTTTTTGAAAAGTGTCTAAAAAACCGCCTCACAAACTTTTTTACAAAAAACGGTTTGTTATCAAAAGACCAATATGGATTTACAGAGGGTGTCAGTACCACTGATGCAATAGACACCTTGCTCAAGGAAGTCACTAATAACATAAATCAAGACAAAAAGTGTATTGCTGTATTTCTGGACCTGGCGAAGGCCTTCGACACAGTCTCTCACAAAATACTATTGAGGATTTTAGAATCCAATGGAGTGAGAGGGACTGCGTTGAGGCTTTGTACAGACTACTTAACTGATCGGGAACAACAAACAAAAATTGGAAACGTTTTTAGCGGGCCGCAGAGGATTAATATAGGTGTCCCCCAGGGCACTGTCCTTGGCCCAATATTTTTTAATATTTACATAAAAGCTCTGGTAGATCAGGGAATAATGGCAAAAATAATTTCGTATGCAGATGACACTGTAATGGTCTTCTGTGGCAGCACTTGGGAAGAGGTTAGATCTAAGGTAGTAGATGGTTTGAAACGAGTCAAAACTTGGCTAGATACCCATAAACTTTCATTAAATTTGCAAAAAACCAATTACATAGCTTTTACGAAAATCGGCAGAAATCGTCCAGATTTTACCTCTATAGAGATCGATACATTTAGCGAAAAAATTAATGAAGTATCACATGCAAAATATCTGGGTATTTTTGTGGATTCTAATCTAAAATGGACAAAACATGTTGAATATATCACAAAAAAGCTAAAAACTTTAATACATAGGTTCTATATTTTAAGAAATATTGTATCGAAGGCTTTAATAACCACATTATATCAGAGTTTAGTGGAATCCCTGCTGAGATATGGTATATTGGCTTGGGGTGCTATGTACAAAACTACTCTAAAACCATTACAAATAATTCAAAATAAAATTTTAAAAATCATCTATAAGAAAGATTACCTTTATCCAACACATCTGCTTTATAATTGCAAAATTAATAATCTAAGAATACTATTCTTTCATTCAGTAGTCTGTTTTGTGCATAAAAATCAGGATAAGGATATTATATCTCATGCTTATTCAACTAGAAATAATACAAAGAATATGCTAATTATACCGAATTGTCATAGCGAATTCTACCAAAGATCAGTTAACTATCTTGGACCAAAAGCGTATAATTTGATTCCTGACGCAATAAAAAGTAATATAAGAGCTAAAACGTTTTCAAAGCAAGCAAAAAAATATCTTTGGGAAAATAGAATAACATTTCTGAAACTGCTGTCATAAGACCTATCTATAATTTTGTGTTTTTTTCATTAAGTAAGTACTAGATTATTATTAGATAAGTAAGTAATTTTTAGGTTGTAGTGATTTTTCTTTTCTTTTTTTTTTTTCTTTCCGTAAGCGCGATCGTAAACGTGTAAAAAAACTCATCTCTAAATACAATTACAAAAATTTTAAATATCAAAATAAGCACATACAGGTGTTAAGTCATCTAGGTGCTTTAGTTAGTTATATATAATATTAGTATTGTAACATAAATTTAATGTAACAATATTTGTAACTATTTTGAAATAAATAAACTTGAAACTTGAAACTTGAAAAACTTGAAACTTGAAAGTTAATTTTCCGCATAGTTTCAATAACAGGGATGGCATACCTACACAAAAATTCATTTTGAATTTTAAAGGGTACCATTGGTACCAACATAATAAGCTAAATTATTAAAATAATTTTTCTATTCCAGGCTTTTGAATTTGTTTTAAATGTTCATAATTTAGTAGTCTAAAATAGATAACATTTGGAGTGAAAAATTAAGGGTGTCCCTAATCACCCGGATCTTCCGGTTGATTTTTTTTTTATTAGCCCGG